CCCCCACCGCCCCGCCGGCCGCTGCCCCCGCACCGAAGCGCAGCATCATCGCACGGCTCTTCGGGACAGCCCCCCCGGCTGAGCCCGCTCCTCCCCAGCCAGGTGGGTGCTGGGGGCACTGTCCAGGCAGGATGTTACCTGGGGGGGTTTGCTCTTTTCCTTTCATTTTTTGCCTGTGAGAGGCTGAGCAGACAGAGGTGTGTGAAGGCCACAGGCCCTGGATGTGCTGGGGTGTCCAAGGAGAGCTGCACTATCACTGTGTGTTCTGGGGGTGTCCAAGGAGAGCTGCACTGTCATTCTCTATTTTTCTCCTTAGCACATGTGGGTTTTTTCTGTGCTGGGCTTGGCTGGGGACTGTGCCCAGCTAGGTGATGGCTGTGCCATGCTTCAGGAGGCAGGGGCTGAACACACAGGAGACACTAATAAAATGAATGAATGAACTGTCATCTCCTTACCAGGAGCACAAACGCCTCTTGAATAGCAAGACAAATGGTTAGAGCAGCTATTTGAAGCGCTGTCCTCGCACCAGTGTGGCAGCTCGGAGAGTCTCCTGTGTGTAGCAGGGAGAGCAGAGTGCTGGGTTTAAAGGTTATTCAGCCAGAAATGATCATGTAGGTCCAGGCTCCACAGCAGATCCCCTCTGGGGAAATCAGCTCCTTCAGAGCTGCTCTGGGTGGAGGGGAGCACACCTCAGCTCCTGCTTCAGTGCTGGCACTCAGTGCAGCAATGCTCAGGCCAAGCCCTGCTGGACTGAGAGGCAGGGCAGAGCCATCAAGGGGGGGTGTGTGTCATTTTCCTGATCTGGACCTTACTTTGCCTGTCACATTCACTTTGTTTGTGAAGCTAACTGGAGCTGCAAAGCTGGCATTGCCTAAAAACCATGACATGGTTTGAGTCACCCTTTGGAAATACCATTCCCTGTCAGTCCCTTGAGCTCCCAGCACTTCCAGACACCCACAGAGGGAAAGGAGGAGGTGCTGAGAACATGGGTTGCAATTTCAGATGTGGAAATGGTTCAGTTTTAGATCTGCACACAGTGTTCTGCATCCTGAAGCTCTTCCCAGATATGACACAGTGTACCCATTTTGGTTTGTTTATGACTCTTCCTACCCAGAGAAAAACAAACCAAACAAAACCCAAAGAGGAGCAGATGTTAGAAATCCCGTGTCAGTGAAAAACCCTTTGTCATATGTATCTGTAGGAAAACAAGTCTACTACCAGTAGTTTGGGATTTGGGTTTTTCTTTTTCTCCTCTGTTTTTTAACTCACTTAGCTTAAGAAGTGTTTTGGGCCTATCTCAGAATGCTCAGGCAGGCAAAAGGAAGAGGTGGTGTGTCAGTGTTGTGAAGTTTCTGTAATGTGCCAAGGGTCTGCACCTCCACTGGAACATGCCCAGGGACTAGTTCACTGGAAAACAGCTGAAAAATCACTGTCACCAAATGATACTTGGGGTTTATGGGAGCTGCTGTATGATTTTTCTCTTTAAGTCTTGGAGTAATAATTCTTTTGGTGGTTTAATTTATACCAACACTACTCTATGGCATTAGTAATGATGTTTGTATGCAAAAGTGATCTGAAAGCTGTGCTAGGAGAGCAAAATCTAGACAAAAAGACAAGAAAGACACAAATCTTGTTCACCTAGAAGAAAAAAGCCTAGATGTGAAGTCCAGGCAGAAGAAAAAGGTTGAATATTGCAAATGTTGAAAAGGGTAATCACTTCAGACTTTGCAGTTAGGGTAATTTCATGAGTTTTCATCCTGATACCTTGAAGATGGGTAGAGGTGTCTGTGTTAAAGTGAGTCTCTATTTGAGGTAGATCTTGAGCCTTTGATCACACAGGGCATGTGAAAGCACAGTGTGAGCAGTTCTGCCTTGGACACTTACAGCTGAAAAAGCAAGAACATAGCCAAGGGTGTACTGGACAGTCTGGGAAAGGTAAGGGAATAGTGAAGGGCCATCCCACAGGAGCACTGCACATGGCACAGGTATAAAACCTGTGGTATGGTCAGTTCAGCACTCCCTAGAGAGCATAGAGAGAGCATTCCAGAGAGATTTTTCAATCTGTATAAGGGCCTGGGGCATTTTGAACCACGTAAGTCATGTGTGGGCTGTGAGTGCCTTCATGCCAGACTCTAGGCTGGTTCATTACCTTCCTCTCCCCTGTCTGTGTAGCCAAGGTCCTGCCCTATGGCTGCTGCCACCCTGGGCCCCACAGGTCTGGAGAAAGCCAACTTCTGACAGATCTGGAGAAAGCTAATTTCTGTCCTGCTTGTGGTGATCCCTGTGTTTTACAACTCCTGTCACTGATGCAGATCCTGCTGCTGCCACTCCCCCCAACCCTGCAGCCCCTGCCAAGGTGCAGAGCGTGGAGGACTTTGTTCCTGAGGACAGCCTGGACCACAGCTTTCTGGAGGACCCAACACCACACAAGGACAAGGGGAAAGCACAGGCCAAGCACCGTGTGGACAGTGAAAGGTAAGGTAGGAAGGGGGCAGGGAGGGTGGGACAAGGACACACAGCCTGGGTAACCTGTTGCACCATTCACACAGTGATTCCAGAGCAATCAGCTGCCCCAGAGCCTTTCTGGCTGTGGTATGGTCAGTTGTAGCATTCAGTGTTTCCCATTTAGTGACACACACTGCTCCCCGGGAAGGTGGAACAGCAGGAAAAGCAGGTTATCACCTTCCTGATGTTGCTGTCTGGCTTTCATGCTCAGGTTAAACCTCTGGGTCCTGTGGGTCGGGATGGGATTTCTCTTCTGGCCAAACACGCTGGATCATTTGATGTATTTCCCTCTGGAACTCAGTGCACTTTGCAGGGATGTTATGTTTTGCTTAATGACTGTTTTGCCACTGCAGAGGCCCCAAATATGGCCAAGCTCCTTTGTGGCCTGGTACTGCCAGTCCTGAGGCACTAGAAGGGGGTTTGGGTTTGTTGGAGGACACTTGGGGGCACTTCAAAGCTCTGTGGGATTCTGGGAGGAAGGAAGGATGGGGAGGAATGTCACTGCATGGTTGCATGCAGATCCCAAAACACTCTTAGGGGGTACCTTTATTTTTCTGTGCCCATGTCTAATGTTTCTCTCTAAATCGGAGAGACGTGGATTTGATGGATGGACAAGGAACGTGTTGAATGGTCACATCCAGAGAGTGGTGGTTAATGGCTCAATGTCTGGGTGGAGATGAATGATGAGTGGTGTCCCTCAGGGGTCTGTACTGAGGCTAGAGCTCTTTAATGTCTTCATCAGTGACGCAGCAGGATTGAGTGCCCCCTCAGCAAGTTTAGCAACAACACTGACCTGAGTGGTGCTGGTGACACTCCTGAAGGGACCTGGACAAACTCAGGAGGTGACCCATGGGAACCTCATGAGCTTCACCAGGGCCAGGCCCAAGGTGCTGCACCTGGGTTGGGGCAACTGGGGATAAAGAGATCAGTTCTGGGGAGAGGGACTTGGGGGTGCAGGTGGGTGAGAGTTTGGACATGTCTCAGCCATGTGCACTGGGGTCCAGAAACCATCTGTGTGCTGGACTCATCCCCACAGCATGGGAAGCAGATGAGGGGGAGATTCTGTCGTTCTGCTCCACTCAGGTGAGACCTCACCTGCAGTGCTGCCTCCAGCTCTGGGGCACAAGAAGGATGTGAACCTGTTGGAGTGAGTCCAGAGGAGGCCATGTTGATGCTCTAAGGCCTGGAGCACCTCTGCTCTGGACCCAGGCTGGGACTGCTGGGAGTGTTCAGCCTGGAGAGAAGGCTCCAAGAGACCTTACTGTGGCTTTTCAGTGCCTAAAGGGGGCTTAGAAGAAAGATAGGGACAGAATTTTTAGCAGGGTATATAGTGATAGGACAAGGTGATGGTTTTAAACTAACAGAGGGGAGATTCAGACTACGTATAAAGAAGTTTTTTACAATGAGGGTGGTGAGGCACTGGCACAGGTTGCTCAGGTTGGTGTTGGGTGCCCCATCCCTGCAAACATTCCAGATTAGGGTGGATGGGGCTTGGAGCAACCTGATCCGGTTGAAGATGTCCCTGCTCACTGCAGAGGGGTTGGAACCAGATGAGCTTTAAGGTCCTTCCAACCCAAACCAGTCTGGAATTCTATAATTAGCTCCTCCAAATGACAGAGTTGTGCTCATGCTGTAAGATGGATTTTCTCTTTTTTTTCATCCCTTTTTTATTTCTCCTGGCTTTGATGTTTTTCAACCCAAAAAAGGGAAAGGGGATTGTGTATCCTGAGCTGCTTAGACAAGAGGATGTGCAGTGAGCTGTCTGCAAGCAGACTGTCTGTGGAGAGGTAACCTCGGCATACTCACAGGCTCTGCATCCCTTTGCTTAGCATATTCCTTGCCTGCTGCCTCTTGTCATCAGCCCTGGATTAACCAGGAGAGTAATTAAACACTGACACTGGTCATCTGTGAATGTGGTGGATTCTGTGTCTGCTGACATCTCTGTTGTGATTCAGTCTTCTCTAGTTCAGCCACAGCAACTTTAAGTCAGTGCTGTGTGTGAGGCTCAGTGACTAATGCAGGACAGGCAGAATCCTCATCCCTGTGGTGGCAGAACACGTGGATGTTTATAAAGAAGGTAAGAAAAGAGCGGTGGTTGCTGGCAGTGTGCTGCCCTACAAAGTATCTTGCTCATGGCTGTGGCTGAGATGGGATGTTTTTCTGTGCTTAACAAGGAAATGTCAGGAGAGCCAAACCTGACCCTTTTGGGGCTGGCTGAGGAATTGGGTCCTGGAGTGCCCTCAGTGCTCATGAGCTGCAGTTCTGCTGTGAGTTGAGGCTGCATTTTAACAAAGGATCCTCTGTTCCAGAGCATCTCTTGGTGGAAGCAAGTAGATGCTAAACTGTGTAAAAAGCCAAACATGTGGTGCAGGAGGACACTCTCGTGGGCTTACTGAGGACACCCTGGTGGGCTCTGTGGTCACTAGATCGGAGCAGACCTTGGTGAGCACAGTCACTTTTGGGGGTACCTGTACCTGCAAACACACTGGCTCAACACTGTCCCAGGCTTGGCAGTGCCTCGAGGCCTGGAGAGAGCAGTGGCAATGTGCTTGAGTTTGCATGCTCTGCCTTCCTTCCAGCTGGAACCTCAGGACCACAAGCTGATCCTAATTTTGCCCTGTCAGACCCTGTTTATAGTGCAGCAGTGATTTTCCTGATGTCTATCCACTCCATCGCTCTGCTCGGAGCTGTCGCTGTGTGCTGGCTGTGGATGGAGGCAGTGCACTCACTGAGGGAAGGTGACCCACTTTGCTGAGGGGGTGCACACATGTGGATGTTCCTCTTGGACTGGGAATGCTTGAAAGGCTGCAAGTGTGTATGGTGTGTGGTAGACAGTGGCAGCAATCTCTGAAGAGCCCCTGTGCCTATCAGAGCAGTGATGTGTTAAAGCAGTGCAGTGTCTCCAGTTCAGAGTGATCTGCCATTTCTAGGATGCAACTCCATTTCAAGTGCGTTTCAAGAGGAAACCCTGGCAGTGCTTTGCAGACCTCAGGAATGGCTCACTTGTCATTCCTCCAGCCTTGGGTCTGGTTTGGACAGCAGTTTCTCTCTCCTTTGTGTGGCTGGGCTGTGTGCCTGCGGCCTGGCTCGGGCTGAGAGCAGCAGTGTTAGTGCTGAAGGGGCTCTTCAGCAGCCTGGCCCTGCCTTGCCCTGGGAGCAGAGGGACCCATGCTGAAAGCAGAGGGAAGGCTGGTGTTGGCCCTGATCTTGGCACTCCAACCAGACAAGCACTGGCTGTGCTCACTGTGTGCTGCACTGGGTGTCAACAGTGTGGTGTCCCACAAATAACTCCATTGTCACTTGGCAGATGTACTAACTCTTTAAACCCAACTTCAGAGCTAGTCCCCAGCCACAAGAAGAGCCACAGTGAGCAGTGCCATCATCCCAGTGGTGTTAGGACATTTCCCAGCACACATCCTCCACTGTCTTCCAGTATTTGTCTTGTGCTAGTGACTGGGAACACCACCTGCTTCCATCTTAAGGATTTTAGGGTTTCTTTATGTCTCTTAAATCTAATCTGTTCCAAGCTATAATTGTGGGGGTTTGTCTCTGTGTAAAAATGAAGGCTGTGCTTCTACAATTCATGTTGTATCATTAAAAGATCAGTGACTGTGTGTGGTGGGTGATTAGGAAGCAGCTGGGTGTCTCTTGTGGATAAAGCAAATAGAACAAGGAAAGGTGATGCAAAGGCTCATCAGCTGAGGCTGGGGAGAATACCTACATTCCTGACATGAGCACATCCTTCAGAAAGTATTAGAGTTGAGTCCTGGGGACATTCAGCCGAGAACCCTCAGCAGCATTTTCAGCTGCAAAGCTCTGATCAAGCTGCCTCTGAACACAGAACTGTATTCATCCAGGGAGGCTGACAGGCTCCCAGCCCTGAAAGTGTGTCCTTAGGTTAATTTGATTTGGGGGATGTTCAAGCCTGGTTCTGGTGTCTGGGTACCTGCCTGCTCCAGGGAGCACCACAGAAATAGAAATCATTCCAGGAAGCTAATAGCTGTGAGCAAATTCCCATGGCAGTGCCAGGATATGATCAGGTTTAATTACAGGCTGTGGGATGAAGGCAGTTCCCGTGGCCTGACTGACTGATCCAGGACTGTTGGATGTTCTCCATGTTCTGATGGAGCTGAGGCCACTATGGCTCACCTTTTTCAGCCACTTCTTTCCAACTTGAGGGGCAGCAGGCACTGTGAGACATCCTGCTGTGCCCCTTTGGTGCAGAGCTTGTGCCACTGCTGCGGCCTGTGGGGAGCAGGTCAGCCTGGACTGGGCAGGGGCAGGGGAAGGCTGGCAGTGTGTGAATCACAGAATCCCAGACTGGTTTGGGTTGGAAGGTCCCTTAAAGTCCCATGGTCAGGGACACCTTCCACTAGTCCAGGGTGCTCCAAGCCCTGGGCAACTTGTGCCAGTACCTCATCACTCTCACAGCTAGGAGTTCCTTCCCAAAATCCCATCTATCCCTGCCTTCTGGCAGTGAGAAGGCATTTCCCCTTGTCCTGTCCCTCCTGGCCCTTGTCCCAAGTCCCCCTCCAGCTCTCTGGAGCCCTTTAGGCACTGGAAGGGTCTCTAAGGTCTCCTCAGAACCTTCTCCTCCACCCCCAGCTCTCCCAGCCTGGCTCCACAGCAGAGCTGCTCCAGCCCTTTAATCAGCTGCCCCAGGCTGAGGACATTGCCCCTGAAGTTGGCAGGAAAAGCTAGGGCAATGCCAGGCTCTGCCCAAGGGAAGGTCTGTCAGCACTTCTGGGGTGCTGTGTCTGATCCCTGTCTGTTTGCAGCGATGGAGAGGTGCCTGGGGGGAACCCCATGGTGGCAGGTTTCCAAGATGACCTGGATCTGGATGACAAAATCCCCAGCAAAGCCATGCTGGCAGCAGAACGTGTGCCCAGCAAGAACATCACCCTCTCCAGTGAGGAAGAGGAGGAAGAGGAAGAGGTGAAGGACTGTAAGGTTGTCCTCATACCTGATGGAGACAAAAACACGGAGCCGGAAAAGAAAAGGTAGGAAGCACAGGCTGAAGTGTGGATTGGGCTGGCAAACCTCGGCTGACCCTTAGTCCTGCCACTAACTCTGTGCAGCCTCTGGGACATCCTGGTGTCTGTCAGCGTGTTCCTTCAGCTGTGAGCTGGGGCTGAGGTTACTGTAGCTGTAACCGCTTTGTGCAGTGTTTCCTGCTCAGTGCCTTGGAGCACTGCAGTCCTGTGGTCACTGGTATGGCTCTGCTTGGGAATGGCCTAGCCTTTCCCTCTGAGAAAGAGCCTCTAAGTGAGCCCCAGAATGGCTGTTCGTAGCAGTGTGGGGAGCAGAGAGGAGTCAGGTGTTGGGTGAAGAGAGTGGAGTCACTCCCCACACCCTGTGCTGGGGAACTGTGTCATGTTCTCCACATACCACATCCTGTGAGTGATAGGATGTTAAACGGTTGGAATGGAGCTGAGAGATCATCCAGCCCCAACCCCCTGCCCTGGGCAGGGACACCTCCCACCAGAGCAGGTTGCTCAAGGCTTTAGCCAGCCTGGCTGTGAACACTGCCAGGGTTGGGGCAGCCACAGCCTCCCTGGGCAACCTGGGACAGTGTCTCACCACCCTCACAGGGAAAAACTGATAACAGGTGTGGTCTGCTGGCAGGAGCATGTGTACCTCAGCATCACAGAGACACAGGGGTTGTCCTCAGCCCCAGTCTGACCACACACCCCTGTAGGACTAACTGCCTCTCTGGATGCATACACCATGCAGCCCTCAGGCAGGCTCAGCTGTTGATTGTGCTTTGCTCCACAGAATGGAGGTGGACAGGCTCTGACAATTTGTTTCTTTCTTCTCAGGTCTTCCAGAAATTCTCTGAAACCACAGAGTGAAGCAATTTTGACCAAAGCAACTGAGCCGAAGCCTCCTGACAGTTTACCTCCCCGTTCTGGGTCTGAACGAAACAGCAGCAGCAAGGGTAACGCTAGTCTGGCAGCCCCTGCTGCTGCAGCCCCTGCTGCTGCACCCCCTGCAGCAGCCCAGGCCCCAAAGGCCACTTCCCAAAGCAAAGGACTTGTTCCCAAGCAAAAAGTGGTCAAAGAGGAGAAGCCTGAGGAGTCTGACAGTGATCAAGAGGGACCAATAGCTACTCAGATGCTCTCATTTGTCATGGATGACCCAGACTTTGAAAGTGAGGATTCTGACAGCCAGAAGAAGAAAATGGTAAATTTCATGCCTGGGTCACTGTGTGCTGAGCTGAGCTGAAATGGAGGGGTTGGGGCATTTCCCTGAGCAGAGCCTTCATCTGCTCTCCCCTCCCTCAGCAGCAGTCACAGCAAGGCAGGTGCTAAGCAACCTGCAGAGATTCATGTCAGCACAAACCCACCAGTGCGTTGTGTGTGGAAACCACATGGCAACAACAGTCATAGAATCACAGATCCATGGAAACACACAATCTCCTGAGCTGGAAGGGACCTACAAGGATCATCAGCCCAACCCCTGCCCTGCACAGACACCCCAACAATGTACCCTGTGCCTGAGAGCATTGGCCAAACACTCCTTGAGATCTGTCAGCCTTGGGGCTGTGACCTCTGCCCTGGGGAGCTGTCCCAGTGCCCAAACACCCTCTGGGGGAATAACCTTTTCCTCATATCCAGCCTAACACTCTTCCTGACACAAGGTTTGTGTTTACAAACAGGAACAATGTTTATTCCTGCACATTTTACTGTACTGTTTATTCCCAGCCAGTGCAGCAGTGTGGAAGGTACAACATACAAAGCTACTTGGTTTTCATCAGATTTACCATGTAGCAGTGTGTCTCTGCCAGAGACAGTGAGCTCCTTGCAGTCAATCCAGCAGTCAAAAGGCCATCACGAAATCTGCTTGGCAGAGCTTACAGGGAAGAAGGGAGCTCTGCCTGGGAAGGACTTTCCAGGACAGCTGAGGTAGCTGCGGTGTCTGTGACATTCAGCACATGCCTGCAGGTATCTGCTCAAACACAGGGTGGAGCAGGTTCTCCCCACACCTCTCTATTACAGGTGGAGAAAACACTTCTTCTCCAGCTTGTCTCTGGGCTGGTCAGAACTTGCTGCATGGCACAAGATACCCTGATTGCAGTGACCTGCAGGCTTGCAGCCTGCACAGCAACCTCTGGGAGCTGCTAACAGTGATCTGGGATGTGCAGTGGCTGTTCAGGGCTGTCTTGGTGTCTGGGTTAGCTGTTCAGGGGGTTCCTGTGTTTGCATCATTCCAGAATGCTGCAGAAAGAGCAGTTGTCCCAGTTTCCTTGACCTTGCCCATGTGTCATGCTGTTTATTAAGTAATTTTCCATTCATTTTGCATCTTCACTACCTGCTTTGCTTGGCAGTTTAATAGGAAAGTAAAAGTATTTGGAGCAAGGTTTACATCTCTTGCATGCACTGATGAGAATGGGTTGGTGAGTGAGTATGCCAGTGCGACAGTGTCAGGGAATGCCTGGCACAGGGAATGCCCCAGGACAGGGAAGTGCTTTCCCACTGCAAGGTGCACTGATCAGGCAAAGCAGGAAAGCCATCAGCAGGGTGGGGGCATTACCTGGACCAGCCTTAGAGCAAGGCTGTGTTGGGTCAGGACCTAAGGATATGAGATACAAGGAAAGGGTGGATAAGGAATTCTGCAGAGGATCAGCTGGCAGGAATCAGAAGATCATTAAACTGAATTTCCATTCTCGTCATACAGAGACAGTGGATTTTTGGGTGATATCCAGGCTCTGCAGCATCCTGGGGTTTAGCTGACACTGAAGGGGCAGATTTGCCCTGGGAGCACATTCCCATTTATCTTGATGAAGGGAATTACTCTGCTTCCTCAGCCTTGCTGCCTCTGCTACCTGAGACCTGCGCAGCAGAGTTTTTGCCTCCCACAGCTGGATGTGAGCTTTCAGCCTGTTAGATCTTCCTCAATACAGAGGAGTCTCTCCAGGGCAGGAAGAGGCTGTTGCTGGTGAGCTAACAGAGTTGAAGATCTCATTTAATCCCTTTCCATTGGGAATTTGACTTTGGCAGCCCCACTGCTCAGTGCTCAGAACAGCCTTGCCAGTGCCACTGCGACTGAGGCATTAAACCACAGCAAGAAATAGAGCTCAGAAGATCCAGGGCATTGATTTTCAGGCAGCAACAGCTCAGTGCCATTGCCTTTCCTCCCCACCTGCTGACATCTGACATTCTTGTGTACAAGCTGCTTAGAGATGTGGTTGAAGCGTTAGTCAGTGCCATTTGCCTCTGCTTCTCTCCAGGATGAGTTCCCAGTGCGGGAGGATCTCTCTGAGCTATCGGATGACGATACCTCATTGGCAAAGCCACCCCAACCTGTGAGATCAGCTGTGCCCTCCTTCAAACCGAAGAATGACTCAGATCTCTTTGGTTTGGGTTTGGAAGAAGCTGGTCCCAAGGAGAGCAGTGAGGAAGGTAAAGCTCACACCTTGTTTCCACTCTTGCTGCTGTTGTTTGTCAGACATCTGTTTCTCTAAGTGGCTTCAGGGTGGCAGCAAACCAACTTGTACTAAATAAAATACCCTCTGACTTCATGCAGTGCCTGAGTGGGTCTGGAATCTGCTTTCAGATGGCATAAATGAGTTTTTCCCCATGAGGAGGGAGGGAACTTGGCTCATCCCTGGCACCAGCCCTGTATTATTTTTGTCCCAGCTGGAAGCAGGAGCACATCCTCCACAAGCTGCTGCTGTGGAAGGCTTCCTGCTCAGCCTTGTGTGCCTGGGAGTGTGTGCAGCACTGCAGTGTCCACCCCCTCCAGAATTTGGATCAAAATGCTCTGACATACCCTGCCAATTCCCTCTTCTGTTTTTGGAAAGGGTGGGGTGAGGTCCTGATCACAACCTAAGCATTGCCAAGGCTTCATTTTTTTCTCCCATTCCCTGAGGGGACAAATCTTCCTCATGCAAATAACCCCTGCTGTCTAGGCATTACTGCAGAGCAACTTCCTATATACCTGCCCCAATATCTTCTTTAAAAATGAGAAGTTAAAGACTTTAGGAGGGGAAAAAAGCTGTGAGAATCACCAGAGAGCTCCTGGAATAGCTGTTCCCAAAGTGTGGGCATGGCACAGGCTTCCATGGCCTCATGGGCTTGTCACTGAGCTGCCACACAGCAGAGCTTGAAATAGCTGCAAGTGCACCTGCAGAGGCCCGGGTCAATCAGTTAAGCTCCAGTTTAGCATCTTTAATAATTCAATGTGGCTTCTCCCATCTCCTCTTTTGATGATACATATCAAACCACCTCCCAGTCATCAGTCACTCGAGCCTTATGGCAGTTAAATTTCTCCCTGGCTGCAGTTACAGATCAGCTGAGGGAAAAGGAGTGTGTAGGTAAGAGTGACAGTCAAACAGCACATGTGAAATGTGCTGCAGTGTGAGGCCTCCTGTGAAACTGCCACACAGATACTCTCCTGTTCCAGGTTTTGTGCAAAGGCAGTGGGCACTGAGCAGCCAAGTCATCAGCCACAGTCAGGTGGGACAAGTGCTGTAACAGTGATGGACTCTTTTGTGAAAGACTCATTTGATAGTGTGAAAGTAGCCACCCCTGTGGAGCAGGGCTACAATTTCCATACACAGTGTGAGCAGCAGTGGGTGTTGGCCTGTCAGGGTGTCCCATCTGCTGGCACTGTGTCCTCAGTCATCCTCAGAGAAGCACAAACCATCCCTGGGAGGATTTCCATCAGAGGGAAACTGTCCCAGGAGCACTTCTTCAGTTCTAGAAATAATAATCCAGTCCCCAGTTTGACCTTTGGACCAGTTTGTAGAGCTAGTCTCTAGATTTGTTTCTTAGTAGCTGTGACACAGTGAGTGCCAGGTCAGTGTTGGTCACACAGCTCATACAATGCTCATAGTGAAACAAGACTGATGTGGTTGAGTCAGGGTGTGAGTGTTGCAGCCTGTGCTGGTTTCTAAAGGAGCACAGCTTGTCCTGAGGTGTCAGCATTGCTTCTGCCCATTGCTCCAGGATGGAGCATTTTGTTCTCAGAATTGGGCCAGGGCAGACTTGCCTCTCTTACCGTTAAAATTGATTAAAACCAATGCCTTTTTTTTTTTCTGTTTGAACAGATAAGCAAACTTCTAAGGAGAAAAAGAAGAAGAAAAAGAAAAGCAAAGAGGTACTGTTTAATTCCTCAGAGCTGATCTGTCATGTTACCTACCAGCCAAGAACAGGGGTGGCCTGTGGTGTCCTCCTGGACCTGGTAGACTCCCTTCCATGCATCTGGGCATGGTCTGTGCCTTCTGGGCTCTGCACTGAGCTTCAAAGCAAGCTTTTATAGCAGTTGGATTTTGTAAAGGGAGTGTGAATTTGTAAAATGCAGGCTCAGGCAGAGCAGTACATCTCTGCTGGACTGACTGTGTGCGTAGCACCATGACTTTTCCCAACAGCCCTAATCTCAGGGACAGTGAGGAAAGTCTGCAGGTGGCTTTGCCCGTGCCATTTCTGCCTGCCCAATACTGTGGTATTGTTGGGCACAAACTGCCTGACAGACCATTGCTCTGTATAAACCAGATGGTCTGTCTGCTCTTCTGTCCAAGCTCACAGGAGGGTCTTCTGGAATCCACTCCAAGCCTTGGTAGGAGATGCTTCATCCTAAGGAAGATTCCTGATCCAGTTGAAGATGTCCCTGCCCATGGCTGGACTAGGTGACCAGAGGTCCCTTCCATCCAGAGCCAGGTGTCAGGATGACACTCCCTGGATCAGTGGCACACTCCAAGCATTCACTAATCAAATGTTCTCCTTTTCAGGAAGAGGAGAAATCAGTGAAAAAGAAGAGCAAGCACAAGAAGAGCAAAGAGAAGGAGGACAGCAAAGAGGAGAAAGAGAAGAAGAAGAAGAAGAGCACGGAGAAAAGCAGTGAGATAGATGAACTTGAGGCATTCCGGGGCGGAGGAGGAAGCGGCGTGAGCAAGCCACAGGGCGGAGGGGACTATGAGGAGCTGTGAGCACACAGCAAACTCTGCACCGTGGCTGTGTCCATCTGCTCTGACGAGTCACCCCAGGACAGGCACAGATGTGTAAATCTTTGGCTGCTTTCTGTAGATTCCCTCAAACCAGAGTGAGCAGCACAAAAGCTTTACATCTGTGTGTGCTGGTTGGTGCATCGTTACACAGAGAAGGCCCAGCTGAGCTGTATGTGAGCCAGGGGAAGGTTCTGGGCACAGCTTCCAGGCTGTTGGTCTTTCTCCTCCCAGAGATGCCCCATCAGGTCGCTGGCAGGGTGTGGGGGTGAGGGGACCTGCCTCCTGCTCCGTCCCTGCTGCATTCCACTCCTGTGCACCCGAGATTCCTGTCCTGTCCAGAGGAGTGCAACAGAAGAAGCCGCATGAACGCATCGTGCTCGCCTGTCTCGAGTCTGTAACTTTTTATCCTTCCTATTTTTTTAAGGAGAAAGGTGATATTGGCCATTGCTTCACCCAGCAGTTGATGAGCTTTAAGTCAAGAAGATCATGCTATGGTACAGCTCTCTACAGCAACAGCTGCAGGGGCAGTGTGAGGGAGAGTGTATGTGATTTGTGGAGCCCTTTGACTGGGACCTTTCTGCACAGCAGCTTCATTAGCCCTTACTGAAAGAGCACTGTGGTTGCTGCTGTTGGAATTCATGAAGCCCACATTGATTTCCGTGGCCCCAGTGTCTCAGACACTACACGTAAGCTGCTATGCAGTTTGGGAAAACAATGCAAAGTGCAAAGCTAACCTGAAAGAGAGAGAAGAATCAGTGCTTTTCTGCATTGCCCACCCTCGAATTTGCATATTCCAGAACCCCCTCCCGCCAGGACCTCTCAGGGACATGACTCCATGTAGAAATGAAGATATCCAGAGCTTCAGAATTGGCTACAGGGCAGTGTTGGCATGGCAAGGCATTTGCTTCTCAGGCATTTTGCAGCCAGGCTGTAGAGCCCTGGCTGCTGCTCTGCGCCGCGAGGGACCAGCACTGCAGCTCAGCAGCTCTGTCCTGCTCCAGCTTCTGTCCAGCCTGCAGCCAGCCAGCTGCTGCCTTCCCTGCCCCAAGCAGAGAGCCTCCTCTGTCCTACCAGTTTGGGAAGTGTTTTAGTTTTTGCTTTGGACTCAACCCGCTGGATTGGTACCTGCTCAGCAGCCACTGGATGGGCCCCACGGCCACCCCTCGGCACTCTCCTGTGTCTCGAGGAGCAGCCCCTGTGCTTGATGGAGCTGCTCAGTTTTCTGTGCCCCTCCTGCTTTGGTTCTGGGCTCCCCTGCTCAGCTCACACGGTGAAGCTCCCTCCAGGTTCTGTGTTACATACCCCTCTTGCTTGTAAGTTGATTTGAGGTTTGGTTTTGTTCTCTCTCTCCCCTTTTTGTTGTGAAATGTCAACCATGAAATCCCAGCTGGGGTTTCCTACTTCACTCCTATAAAGCAAGATGTTATTTTGATCCATTATCCACTCAGAGTTGTCTTGACCAGCAGGCACTTTCCTGCTCCAATTTTCTTTTTCTTGCCCCCAAACTGCACTTGTAACCATTTCCCTATAAAGCAAACTGGGTTTTTGCTGCATGAGCAGTTCAGGTCTGTTTGCCGTTAGCATTTGCCTCCTCTGAGCATTCCACGTGACACTGTAGG